CATGGATAGCAGATAGTTTCGGATTTTTAAAAAATTTTAGAAATGATCTAAAATCATAAAAAAATTCTACGTAGTGTAAAACCCATGGGGGAAGTTCCAGTAAAAATTTCAAGGTAATTGAAGCACTAAAGCTCCATATAAAAATTCATTTCTAGACCAAAAAGGAAAAGCTTCAAATTTCCAACAACTAGCTTGCAACTTCAAAAATTCATAAGTATAATTCATTTGAAATCCAAATTACATGAAACCAAAACTAAATGAAAGCTAATTGAGTATGCTTTCATATTCTATATTTAATTTGATAAGATTAATTTCAAGTTAAAACAGTTTAAGGGAAAAATACAAGCCCTTCTCTTCCTTGCGTGTAAAACACTCAATAATGACAAAAAAATACTTCAAAATAATAGATCAATACCTCACTAGAGAATTGAATCTCTAGATACCAAAGCAAAACTAGGAGTTAGGCTCAATCCTTCAAGGGTTTTGAAGAGGAGGATGAGGGAAACAAAAAGTATTCTAAGTTTTATGGTCTAAAGTAAGTGGAAGGGCCTCAAAGATCAAGGTCAATGCCTAAGGCTTCAAGCTCCATCCATGGAGGCTAGGGTTTCTTGTAAGGAAGATAATGAAATAATGTGGTTAAGTGTGAGTGGGGGAAATAGAAATCCTCCACTCATTATGTGCTCTTACACCATAGTCAACACACACATCTATGGTCAATTGCACAAAAACCCTCCTTTAAAACCATAATCCCAAAGTGGCCCAAAGATATTTGCAAGACTAAATTGTGAACCTGCACTTGTCACCAATCCATGGCTCCTTCATAGGCTTAATCCCACACCTACACTTGTCAACCATCCAAGCCAACAAGTGCACCAATCTGTGATGTTTCTGCATTTTTATTTTTCCAATAATTCGTGGAGACAAGGGTATTTCGGTCCATTTGCATTGTGCATTTTAAATTATGTGGATTAAGTAGTATTTGCATGTGGTTCACTTGTGTGTGTATGTAGTGTAAAATTGGAGAAAAAAAGAAAATGGAAAATAAAATTGGAAATTGGCGGGACCCACCATTAACCACAATGTGGTCTAGAGGACACATTTCTTCATTCACATTTTCTCTCTCTCCCGTAGCTTTTCTCCCTCTTTCATTTTCCTTTTCTTTTTCTTTCCACTTGAAAGGCAATCTTTGAGCTTTAATTATTCTCTCAATTCTTGGCGGATTAAGGTGCCGTTTGAGGCAAAACGGAGAGCACGACGAGCTCTACGCACTCATACCAACAATTTCAGTTTTGAGCCTTCCTTTGGAGTTCGAATTTGAGGACCCATTTCAAGGGTTTTGTCCATTTTCGAGGTAGGGGCCTTAATCCACTTCTTTCTTGTTCCATTGTGAGTTATATCTCCTTTGTGTGATAAACATGCTTAATTTGAGAGTTAATTGTTTCAATGTTGTGTAATTGATGTCTAGAGAAATTCATGATTTTGATTATGATTTGTTATATGTGAAAAACATGTTGTGGTGATAGTTGTGTTGTGTTTAATGTGTTGATGACTCAATTGATGATGTTGAATATGGTATATGCTTAGTTGTGAAGTAATTATGGAATGTAAAACTTCTGCATACCATAATATAGTAAGCTTGAGACACATATACATGTACATGTCATTGGGTTGCATGAAATGGGAGAAATCAGTTTTTGAAATGAAAACGGGAATTTTGGGAGAAGAGTTTTTGTGAAATGGATTTGATAAACCCGGTCGCTGCGGGGTTACCAACGGGCCGGAGGTTAATATAGCCTAGAGGGGACTAGGGAGTCGCCCTAGCGTGGTTGAGCTAGCTGGGCCCCATAATGACGCCGCGGGGTTACCAAGGGTCAGGGACACTAGCCAATCCTCCTCTCGTGTCGCGGCGGGGTTACCAAAGGGCGGGCTGTATTAACAGTTGGAAAGTATGATTTTGAGAAATGAAAATGGGGAGTGACATATCATGCATTGCATTGCATTGTTTACACTTGAATTGACATTGAAGTTATTTTAACCCTACATTGCATGATCCCCGTTTCCCATTGGCCTATACTTTGATTGGATTCACAAGGACACAAGATATGTGCCTTAAGTGTCACCTACTGAGCATATAGCTCACCCTACTATATATTATTTTTTTCAGGTCTTGGAAAAGAACCGGCGGATGCCAATCCACCTCAAAATTGAAAGTTGTTAGAAGACGATTTTTTTTGCTATTTTGTTTTCGGCCATTCCATGTATAGACATAGTTTTTGGAGAATGTAAATAATTTTGCAAATGTTGGCTATTGGGTAATGTAATTAAGTTTTATTCAAACATAAATCATCTAGTGTATTTTAGTGACATGTGGTAAATTACGTTAATAACGTGGTTGTTGTACTCCAATTTATTGTTAAAATGTATTAATTTTGCACGTAAGTGTTGTGACGTGGGTGGTTGAACGATCAAAAGTTAGTGTATTAGGGTTACACTGGACAGCGAAAAGTGGGAGTGAAGAATTTCAAGAACCGATCGATGTATAACCCAAATCGGTCGACCGGTATCTTCATAGTATGTTTGAGTTGTTGACATCCCAAACCAGTCGATGTATGGCATCCCATACGTCGACCGGTACCCCAAACCAGTCGACCGGTACCCCAAACCAGTAGACCGATATCCCAAACCATTCGACCGGTATCTTGGCAGTGGGTTTTCCCACTGTTCATATCCCAAACAAGTTGACGTATAAGGTGTATACGTCCATCGGTTCTGCATTTTCATGTAATTACCAATTTAAGTTCTTAAATTGCACTTGGCACCCAATTGATGTTGCAAGTAATTACATTATGACCCAATTAAATGCCATAATTATTTTTTTACCCCGAACCTTATTTTATTTACTTCGTGATTCAAGTAAAGGACTGTTTTACCCTTAAGTCTCAATGTATGGATTCATGGCAAATTACTAATTTGCCCTTTTTGGACCTTGTTATTTAATTTTGACGTGAAATGACCATTTTACCCTTGGATGATTTTAGGTCGGGTAAGGACCCGTTTAATGATCCGGATCCATGAGGATTTGGGTCATTACAGAATGGTATCAGAGCGTGGCTTCGAAAACCTTTGGGGCGACGGGTAGAGACCTACATAGAGTTGCGTGGGGTGTTGTTTACATTATTTACGTGATTCCTTGCTACGTGTTTATTTATTTGAACAAGTATGTTTAATTGTCTATGTGCTTATGTGCCTAAATGTTACGTTAAATGTTTCTTGTATTGTTGTGCATGCTAAGTGTTGGTACGTCATCATTTTATGTTTAGTCGTCCGCGGTGGACTTTAGCGTCATGTTTTTGAACCGTTCTCTTATTTTATAGCACGATGTCACAACGTGAAGAGTTAAGGGAAGTTGGCCCTAGGCCAACAAGCGGTGACGTTGGTGAGAGCTCTAGCTCCAACCCGGCAGAGCTAAATGATAAGGACACACTTCTTAGGGACTTAATTCCCCCAAGAGTTGTTCCCCCGAGGAGGGATAATGTTGAAGCACCCGTAGAAGTGGGTGAAGGTTTTGTGGCACTGGAGTTTAATCGTTTGTTGCAGAACGTCGTGAGGGCAACGATTGCTGCTCAGTCGCAGTCGGTACCATAACCTACAGTTCAAGTTGAGGAGACGCCAGCTCAAAAGCGTCTCAAGATTATTAAAGGTTTTTCTCAGTTGATGCTAGTTATGTTCGAGGGTGGTGCGGATCCAATGGTAGCAGATGACTACCGGGATCAGGTTGAGACTCAGTTAACCTCAATAGATGTGACGGAGGATCATTTGAAGACATCCTAGCTACTTATAAGTTTGCTAAAGATGCCAAGGTTTGGTGGAAGTCAGTCACCAACCAGTATAAGATAGAGGAAATGAGTTGGGACAGGTTCAAGGAACTATTCTATGAGAAGTATTTTTCACTTTCCAAAAGATGGGAGTTATAAGACCAGTTTCATAACCTTATTCAAGGGAGCATGTCAGTGGCAGAATATGAGAACAAGTTTACTTCACTCTCCCATTTTGCTCCAGAAATGGTGAGAGATGAAGCTTACAAGACTCGGAAGTTTGGTTCTGGTCTTAATGATTGGATGAGGCCATTGATCATGGCTCAGTTCATTAAAGTTTACTCGGAAGCAGTAGAAAGGGCATTAATGTTGGAGGCCGATAATAAAGAGAAGGATGCAAGAAGAGAGCAGTTGAAGCAAAAGAGAGGTGTAGGGCCATCATCGGAGGGATCTCCTTGGAAAAGGAGCAAGAGTGGTTCATTTCAGTTTCAGGGGCAACAGTCTGCACGATCTGCTCCTACCACTCCTGTGCCAGCTGGATCTGACAGGAGTGGAGCTGTTTGTTATCAATGTCAGCAACCTGGGCACTACAAGTCTAGTTGTCCTATGAGATCATCTTCAGTTTCTTCAGTTCCAAGGACTTGCTATGGGTGTGGCCAGCAGGGTCACTTGATTCGGGACTATCCTAGTCACGGAGCAGGTACTGGTAGTGGCAGAGGGTCAAGACAGAGGCCATCACAGTTGGCTACAGTTCAGTCAGGTTTCAGATCACTGCCACCACCTCAGCCTGCCATATCTTCTCAGGGTTCTCATCCAGCTAGGAGGGATACTCCTATTGTGTCAGCACAGCAGTCTGGTGTTCAGATTAGTGGTTCTCAAGCACAGGCACAACAGGGACTTGTCTTTGCACTTGCACCGACTGATCCATCTCCTGGACCGTCAGTTCTCTGAGGTATATTTCCAGTGTTTGGTTTTTAGGCCCGTATTTTGTTTGACTCTAGTGCATCTCACTCTTTCATTTCATCATCATTTGCACTTACATCGGGGTTAGAGGTTAGTTTTTTAGATCGGGCATTATGTGTTGATACGCCAGTTGGAGTTTCAGTGTCTTTGAGTCGAGTTGTGCGGGATTGTCCCATTGTGATAGTTGGACGGACGTTTGTGTTTAACCTTATCCTCCTAGAGATGACTCGCTTTGATGTCATTCTCGGGATGGATTGGTTAGCCTTCTTTCATGCTACAGTTGATTATTTCAGAGGAAGAGTCACGGTTTGCACTCCTGAGGGAGATTGTTTCTTTTTCATGGGAGATTGAAGTGATTCCCAGCCTTCATCATTGTATGGAATTCGTGAATGGAGTCGTGGTGATTACTTCTTGGCTAGTCTTCTAGCCGAAGAGGAGAATGTTGTGGGAGAAAGTTATCCGGCGGTTGTTTGTGATTTTCTGGACGTGTTTCCAGAGGATCTGACGGAGTTGCCTCCATATCGGGAAGTGGAGTTTACCATTGATTTGATGCCTGGTATCGCGCCGATTTCTATGGCACCGTATCGCATGACACCAGTTGAATTGGAAGAGTTGAAGAAGCAGCTTGATGATTTGAGGATGAAAGGTTTCATCCGACCGAGTGTGTCACTATGGGGAGCACCGGTCTTGTTTGCTAAAAAGAAAAATGGTTTTTTGAGGTTATGCATCGATTATCGGAAGTTGAATCATGCCACCATCTAGAACAAGTATCCTTTGCCAAGGATAGACGATTTGTTTGATCAGTTGAAAGGAGCCAGTTGTTTCTCGAAGATTGATTTAAGATCTGGCTACTATTAGTTGAGGGTTAGGGATGAAGATATCCCAAAAACAGCGTTCCGTACACAGTATGGACACTATGAGTTCCTTGTTATACCATTTGGCTTGACTAATGCGCCAGCGGCATTCATGGACTTGATGAACCACGTCTTTCATGATTACTTGGACCAGTTTGTGGTAGTCTTCGTGGATAACATTCTTGTGTATTCACGGACTCGGGAAGAGCACGAGGTCCATTTGAGTATTGTTTTGTAGATTTTGCGGGAGCACCGATTGTATGCCAAATATGAGAAATATGAGTTTTGGCTACAAGAGGTAAAGTTTTTGGGATATGTTGTTTCATAAGGTGGAGTGTCAGTTGATCCATCAAAGATTGAAGCTGTTTTGAATTGGGAGCAACCCAAGAATGTGTTTGAGATCCGTAGTTTTCTTGGTCTAGCGGGTTACTACCGGAGATTTGTGAAAGATTTCTCCTGTTTAGCAGCGTCTATGACCCGTTTAACCCAGAAAGGGATTAAGTTTGCATGGAATGAAGCCTGTGAGTCATCTTTCCAGGAATTGAAGACAAGATTGACTACGGCTCCAGTGTTGGTGATACCTGAGCGTGGCTTGGGTTATGTGATCTATTGTGATGCTTCACGTGATGGTTTATGATGTGTGTTGATGCAAGATGGTAGAGTAGTGGCTTATGGGTCTCGGCAGTTAAAGACTCATGAGTACAGCTACCCTACTCATGATTTAGAGTTGGCGGCAGTGGTGTTTGCTCTGAAGTGTTGGAGACACTACTTGTATGGTGAACGATTCGAGGTGTTCTCGGATCACAAGAGCCTCAAGTACATTTTCTCCCAAAAGGACTTGAACAATAGACAGAGACGATGGGTCGAATACTTGGAAGATTACAACTTTGATTTGCAGTATCATCCGGGCAAGACAAATGTTGTAGCTGATGCCTTAAGCCGAAAATCTCGAGGCACTTTAGCTGGTTTGGCTATCCGGAAGTGGAAGATGCTTGAAAGTTTGGCGGAGATGGATTGTGTTGTTTGGATGAGGATGATTGCAATGGGTCGGCATTCTTGTTTAGTCTTATGGCTCAGCCTACTCTTGTCGGACGAGTGATTGAGTCACAGAGGCAGGATCCAGATTTGGATGCCATTCATGCTTTGATCTCCAGTGGTGAGACAGTGAAGGATTGGACCTTACATGCAGATGGGGGTCTACGGTTTAAAGATTTGTTGGTTGTCCCCACGGTTTGTGGTGAAGATGTTCTTCGGGAGTTTTACACTTCTCACTTTGCAGTTCATCCAGGTGGTACAAAAATGTATCACAATTTGAGACGTTAGTATTGGTGGAATGGGATGAAGAAGAACGTTGCGCAGTTTGTGGCTAAGTGCCTTACCTGTCAACAGGTGAAGGCCGAACATCAGAGACCAGCAGGGTTGTTATAACCATTGCCTGTAGCACAATGGAAATGGGAACAGATTGCGATGGATTTTGTGACAGGTCTTCCAAGGTCACGAAGGGGCAATGAAGCCGTATGGGTCATCATTGACAGATTGACCAAGACGGCTCACTTTTTGCCTATTAAGGCAACAGATGATGCAGAGACACTTGGCGTTCTTTACGTGAAGGAAATTGTAAGGTTACATGGAGTTCCAGTAACCATTGTGTCAGACAGGGATGCTAAGTTCACTTCGAAGTTCTGGGAAGGACTTCAAACAGCGTTTGGTACAGTGTTTGGTTCAACGTTAAATCTTAGCACGACATTCCATCCACAGACAGACGGCCAGTCAGAACATACTATCCAGATCTTAGAGGATATGCTTCGGGCATGTGTGCTTGACTTGGGTGGCAGTTGGGAAGATCATCTACCGCTCATTGAGTTTGCCTACAACAATAGTTATCAGGCGAGCATAGAGATGGCTCTATTTGAGGCGTTGTATGGCAGACCTTGTAGGTCTCCAATTTGTTGGATTGAGGTAGGTGAGACAGCTGCCTTAGGACCTGACATTGTACTTGAGACTACCGAGAAAATCAAATTGATCAGACAGAGGTTGCTCACAGCTCAGAGTCGACAGAAGAACTATGCAGACAGGCGGAGACGACCACTATCTTTTAAAGTAGGATACCATGTTTTTCTACGAGTTTCCCCATGGAAAGGTTTAATGAGGTTTGGGAAAAATGGCAAGTTGTCGCCACAATTCATTGGACCATTTGAGATCTTGGACCATGTAGGAGAGGTTACTTATAGACTCGCTTTACCACCGCAGATGGACAAGGTTCATAATGTTTTTCATGTGTCGATGCTACGGAAGTATGAACCGGATCCATCTCATATTTTGGATTGGGTCGATGTGGACATTGATGAAGATATCTCCTATCAAGAGGGACTAGTGCAGATTCTTGACACACAACAGAAGGTGTTAAGGGGTAAAATGATGCAGTTAGTGAAAGTTCTTTGGAGGCACCACGGAGTCGAGGAGGCTACTTGGGAGCTTGAACAACAGGTTCGCTCCAAGTATCCAGAGTTGTTCTCTTCCCCAGGTACGGCTTGATTTTGGGGACGAAATCCTTTTAAGTTGGGGAGATTGTGATGTTTCTGCATTTTCATTTTTCCAATAATTCATGGAGACAAGGGTATTTCTGTCTTTTCGCATGTTGTGTTTGGGATTGTGGTTGGGCCCATTTGCATTGTGCATTTTAAATTATGTGGATTAAGTAGTATTTGCATGTGGTTCATTTGTATGTGTATGTAGTGTAAAATTGGAGCAAAAAGAAAATGAAAAATAAAATTGGAAATTGGCGGGACCCACCATTAACCACAAAGTGGTCTAGAGATCACATTTCTTCATTCACATTCTCTCTCTCTCCCGTAGCTTCTCTCCCTCTCTCATTTTCCTTTTCTTTTTCTTTCCACTTGAAAGGCAATCTTTGAGCTTTGATTATTCTCTCAATTCTTGGCAGATTAAGGTGCCGTTTGAGGCAAAACGGAGAGCACGACGAGCTCTACGCACTCATACCAACAATTTCAGTTTTGAGCCTTCCTTTGGAGTTCGAATTTGAGGACCCATTTCAAGGGTTTTGTCCATTTTCGAGGTAGGGGCCCTTAATCCACTTCCTTCTTGTTCCATTGTGAGTTATATCTCCTTTGTGTGATAAACATGCTTAATTTGGGAGTTAATTGTTTCAATGTTGTGTAATTGATGTCTAGAGAAATTCATGATTTTAATTATGATTTGTTATATGTGAAAAACATGTTGTGGTGATAGTTTTGTTGTGTTTAATGTGTTGATGACTCAATTGATGATGTTGAATATGGTATATGCTTAGTTGTGAAGTAATTATGAAATGTAAAACTTCTACATGCCATAATATTGTAAGCTTGAGACACATATACATGTACATACCATTGGGTTGCATGAAATGGGAGAAATCAGTTTTTGAAATGAAAACGGGAATTTTAGGAGAAGAGTTTTTGTGAAATGGTTTTGATAAACCTGGTCGCTGCGGGGTTACCAATGGGATGGAGGTTAATATAGCCTAGAGGGGACTAGGGAGTCGCCCTAGCGTGGTTGAGCTAGCTGGGCCCCATAATGACGCCGCGGGATTACCAAGGGTCAGGGACACTAGCCAATCCTCCTCTCGTGTCGCGGCGGGGTTACCAAAGGGCGGGCTATATTAAAAGTTGGAAAGTATGGTTTTGAGAAATGAAAATGGGGAGTGACATATCATGCATTGCATTGCATTGTTTACACTTGAATTGACATTGAAGTTGTTTTAACCCTACATTGCATGATCCCCATTTCCCATTGGCCTATGCTTTGATTGGATTCACAAGGACACAAGATGTGTGCCTTAAGTGTCACCTACTGAGCATATAGCTCACCCTACTATATATTATTTTTTTCAGGTCTTGGAAAAGAACCGGCGGATGCCAGTCCATCTCAAAATTGAAAGTTGTTAGAAGATGATTTTTTTTGCTCTTTTGTTTTCGGCCATTCCATGTATAAACATAATTTTTGGAGAATGTAAATAATTTTGCAAATGTTGGCCATTGGGTAATGTAATTAAGTTTTATTTAGACATAAATCCTCTAGTGTATTTTAGTGACGTGTGGTAAATTACGTTAATAACGTGGTTGTTGTATTCCAATTTGTTGTTGAAATGTATTAATTTTGCACGTAAGTGTTGTGACGTGGGTGGTTGAACGATCAAAAGTTAGTGTATTGTGGTTACACTGGACAGTGGAAAGTGGGAGTGAAGAATTTCAAGAACTGATCAACGAATAACCCAAATCGGTCGACAGGTATCTTCACAGTATGTTTGAGTTGTTGACGTCCCAAACCAGTCGACGTATGGCATCCCATACGTCGACCGGTACCCCAAACCAGTCGACCGGTACCCCAAACCAGTCGACCGGTACCCCAAACCAGTAGACCGGTATCCCAAACCATTCGACCGGTATCTTGGCAGTGGGTTTTCCCACGGTTCATATCCCAAACTAGTCGACGTATAAGGTGTATACGTCGACCGGTTCTGCCTTTTCATGTAATTACCAATTTAAGTTCTTAAATTACACTTGGCACCCATTTGATGTTGCAAGTAATTGCATTATGACCCAATTAAATGCCATAATTATTTTTTTGTCCCGAACCTTATTTTATTTACTTCTTGATTCAAGTAAAGGACTGTTTTACCCTTGAGTCTCAATGTATGGATTCATGGCAAATTACCAATTTGCCCTTTTTGGACTTTGTTATTTAATTTTAACGTGAAATGACCATTTTACCCTTGGGTGATTTTGGGTCGGGTAAGGACCCGTTTAATGATCCGGATCCATGAGGATTTGGGTCGTTACATAATCCTAGGCCAACAAGTGGGTGAATCCTCACCCTCCAAATGTCATCATCCAATGCATTAAAGTGTTTCCACACAAATGTCAACAAGTGGACCAATGAGAGTGTGACACTTGTCACCCTTTTAAAAAATTACAAAAAGGTCCTTTTTGAAAATATCCTCCAAATTTAATTGCAAAATGGTCCCCAAGATGAAAAATAATTACTTTATTTAATTACACTAAAACCCCACAAGTTAGAATAATTACACTAAAGTATGCATTAATACCCCTTTATGAAATAAGTAAGCAATCAACATGCTTTTCTAGAAAAGTAGAAATACCACTATCATGGAAATCAAATATCATGAATGCATGCAAAACCGGAATCAAATCCGAGCACAAAAAGTGAGGTTGTGCAAGGAAAAAGGATAAGCGAGAAAAAGACAAAATGTGAATAGTGTTCGGAAAAATAAAATATGGAAATGACACAATCCCCAAAGGAAGTTGTCAATCCAAGGAAAAGAGTCTCGAAAATCATTCCAGAGCACTCGAGACGATATCAAGTGATGAAAAACCGAACCCAAAAAGGAAAAAACAACGGAAAAAAAATATCCGTTAAAATCTGAGAAAAAGAAAAGGAAGAAAAATGACCGGGTCATTACATCTTAACCATGTTCGATCAATGTCACCACAAGTTCGATCGATCGAACTTCCCAAATCTTGAGAAAATCCAAATTCCAGCTCATTAAAAGTTGTCTCATATCCAATCATTGAAAGGAATATTGGTGTACGAGCCTAGCTCATTTGGGGTTAAGGAATATGAGCCACTTTTGAGATATATACTTGAGAGTAGATAGAGACACAATTTCCATATTCTTAGGGAAGAAGAAAAGAAAGGAGGAGGCTAGAGATACAAGCTTGGAGTTCTTCCATCAACCAAGAAGAGGAGCAATCTCTTCCATGGAGTTAGCCCTTGAGGGTTGGAGGACACCATCCATGAGTGGCTAGATATCCTTTTGGGGCTAGAGTTAGCCCTAAGCATGCTTTCTACATCTTGATTTATGTATTTTTTAGGGGATTTGTATTGTGATACATGTTTTGATACTGTTATATATATAGATCTTGTTTATTCAATGATTTGTGTGGTTTAATGCTTCCAATTGATCATTTCATTCTATCCATGTCTATGTATGCTAGAATAGATGTTCATGTGTTTATCTCTATTTTTTGTATTATTAATGCATGTCTATGTGTATTAATGCTATAGATCTAGAGATTGTCCAGACATAGTGCTTAATGGAATGTTCTTGTGGTTTGTTTGATGGTTCATACTCATTTCTTGATGGATTGTGTCTTTTCCTTAGTTTAATTAGTTTAGTTTCATGTCATTAGCTTAATTGTAGTGTAGTTGTAGTTTAGGTGTCAAATGGGAGGACAATCTATGCTTGTTGTTTGATGTTCCATACTTATGAAAGTAAGTAGCATATATTTCTAACCTTGTGATGTGTTTGGGTTGTGAGCTTAAAGAAAGGATTAATGGCTTAATTTGATATATTGTGCTATCCACCATGTTGCTTAAGCAATATATGCTTAATTTGTCATCCATGCTTGTTGAAACAACCACACACACACATTTGTTGCAATATATGTTTTTCCCCTCATTAATCATTCATTAAGGGTGTAGAAAAGTTATGCTTAATGGTGATCTCTAAACCCCAAGATCTCTTTCTTATTTTCTCTCCTTTACATTTAATAGTTTACTTTAGTCTAAATTGCATCTTAGTGTAATTCAACCACCAACCAATCTTTTGATCACTCGACCTACTAACCCTAATCTCGATTCCACAACCTAGTACGACCCACCAATCTCTTGGGATGATCCCTACTTGCCCTAACTATATTTTTAGTGAGATGTAGTAGTGGTAATTTTTAAATGTAAAACTTGGCCACATTCATCACAGCTCTACACCATTATCTTTTGGTGCACAAACTTTGGTTTGGGGTCCCGACAAACCACCACCAATCAGGACCTTGAAGAAGCCTCAATGTCTTTCCTATTCTAGTGCATTTTGTTTGTTTGTTATTTATTGTTACGTTTATTTTATTTTATTTTATTTTATATATATATATTCATGGCCTGACATGGCTTAGGAGGGGAGTTCATTCTGTTGGTTTCTCCAGAATTAGAAGGTTATTGTGGTAAATGTATATATGTTGCCACCTTGCTGGTTGAAGGACAGTGATCAATTCAGCCAAAACCTCCCCAAAGAAGCACTTGGATGTATATAAGACCAAAAGTTGTTGCTTGTACGTTGGACAGACAATATAAGTCGGACATGCTGATAAAGCAACACATATTGCACTTGCTGCAGTGAGGAAGCAGACAGGAAGGTTCATTGCTCAATTTCCTGCAAATGACATGTCCTTTACAGAAGGACATGTACCAAGAGAACGGCTACCAACAGATATGTAAATTACCCTAACCTCCATGAGGTTTTCAATTAGCACCTTCAGATTAAACTTTCATAAAATGTACGTATTCAAACATCAAAACCTATCGATTCACCTTCGGAGAAAGAGAAAAAAACAATACCTATAGATTACGACTAGTTCACTAAATATTGGTTTTATTCTCATTAAGTGGGTGACCTCATGCTCGAATCCATATCTTCACAGTTGACAATCCAATTTTTACCATTGCACCATGCAATGGCCCCTACAGAGAACAATAACTTTATTGTAGAAGTTGAAGATAAAATTCAAATTCGTATAATGTAACAAAGCCATAACATAATTTAAATCAAAAGCATATCATATGACATATCTCATTGATCTTGTCATAAACATCCTTCTATATGATGGTAAAACTTGGACATACCTCGTTGAGTGTATTTACGATTGGCAGCTCCCCAGGAAATCTACAGTTTGTCATTAGCTTGTGATTGGCCTCGGAGGAAGAACCTTGTCTTCTCTAAGCGTATGCTTTGCAGCACGAAAGCCTTCTCTTTAACAAACGAAGTCCCGGCCTATTATGCCCATCTTCTTTAGTGAGTGTGTGATTTGATTTGTTCGAATGGTGAATCCTGTACACTTGGCGTAGTCATAATAGAAATCTATTGCATCATCTGGTGACGGAAAGTCATCCCACTAAATGGTTCTAAATTTTCCATTTCTAAACTGCTAACTGATGGTTCCACAAAAATTAGGCCATCATTTAAAACAGTAGATGAGTTGCAATTATGGAACACAACCCATCTTCCCCTGCTTTATGTTCTCTACAGTTTTCAAAAGTTACATTAACTGAACATTGGTCACGACAAAATTGTGCCCATTTGAGGTTCCCGCCATTATGTCCTACAAAAGGAATCACCAATTAAGAAATATTCGCCATTTGAAAATCTAAAAAGTTTTCTATTTACAGCAGTAGACACTTCGTATCACTCTAGAACATTTGTGCATCCTACCATCCCTAGAAGATTCATCATACCTGCCTCTCAAAAAGTTGTGGTTGAATGTTCTTAAAATTTAATGGCTCACATTGCATGTAAGGCATATGGCAATCATCTAGATGGAATAAACAAAAATAGTGTTGTCATGATTGTACAAGATCAGTTTGAAAGATAATGAAATTCCGTTTTTCGAATTTTCACTATAGATGTTTATGACAGTAACTTTCAATAATGGTGATCAGATTTACACAGAGTAATTACCACCACTAACTCTCCACTGTAGGAACAAGTAATAGAACACTTAAGCCAATTCAAATCCACCACGCATCCCTCATAAGGGTCATATTATCAACATTAAACTCAAAAAACACAAACTTAAATTCATCACATTCCCCTAATTTTTTATTCTGTTTCACAATGTATCCCCAAGGCAGAAAACGAACAATTGCAACACCGAACAAAAATATTTTTTGACAAAAAAAAAAAAAAAAATTATGAGGAAAGAATCAAACTCCAACTATTGGGCATAGTCATTTCAAGGGGAAGCTCTTTCAGGATAGGGAGAGGGAGAGAGAGAGAGAAAATGAAAAAAGAAGAAGCTAAGATATTCTAATTCCCCAATTAAATGAATAAACATAAACATGTTTTGCCGTTGTAAAAAAGACACCTTGAAGTAAGAAAATCATCCAAAAAAGTACAAAGAATAAAAAATGATAAGCCTTGGAGATTATATCAGCCACAATAGTAGAATTGCTGTACAAAATTCTCCACTAAGTCATCACCTGCAAACAATATACAAATTAACTTTCATTGATTGTTGGAAAAATTTTACAAAATCTAAGAGGAAATTTGAAATTTTGAATACCTTAGATTTTATTTTATTTTATTATTATTATTATTATTATTATTTTTTAATATTTGGGACCTGAGTAAACGAAAGGACACACCATTTAAGACTGAAACAAATCTTTTACACCTTTGAAACTTAAACATTGAAAACATATGGCATTTTAAATAGTTAATATTTTATTTCTTCACTTACTCAGTTTTCTCAGCAATCAAACAGAAATCAATGTATTGAAAAAACTACTAATAGAATCTATCTTTTTTTCCGTTTGGTTGCTGAGAAAGCTGAATAAAATAAAGATTAACTTTCCAAATAATTGTTCTGTTTCTTTTCTTCTTCTTTTTTCATTTCCACCGTTCTCAGCAACCAAATTGATATCCATCCAATCACAAAAATGAAATGGAAACGGAGAGTTTTGATGAATTCATGTATCGAACAAGTTAAGAGTAAATTAAAGTACTAAAAAAAAAAAAAAAACCAGATCAAATTTGAAATCAAAATGATACTATAATCAGATTAATTATTAATTACTTACTTCAACTTCGATTCAATCTATCTAACAGAGATTGAATGCGAAATCTTCTTGCTGTCCGGCTTCTGCAGTCTTTGCTTAGTTCTTATTTGAGAGAGAGAGAGAGAGACAAAGAGAGAGCAGATCTCAATGAAATGTTTTATGGGAGTTGAAATGGTAGTTCAAATGAAATTGACACCAAGTTGTTCGCGAAGTATAGGTCCACATGGTTATATTCACAAACCAAGCAAACTACAGCCCAGCCCAACTGGGTGATCATCTTGCTTTGGAAGAGAACCAATGACCAAACATGAAACCATGTGTTTTTAATTAGATATGATTCTCTCATATCATATTTTAAGAATAATGATAAGCCGTTCCAAAGCCGGTCGTATCCTATTGATTCATGTAAGTGAAATGATATCATCACGATTTTATTAAATATGATGATGTCATCGTAACTTCATCCTAGACTCACATAAATTTTGTAGGTTGTTTTCACCTATTGGACTTTCTATACTCTATTTTAATCATCTTACTTTGGAAGAGCACAAATTATTTCTTTATTTTATATATATATATATTTTTTATTTTGTGTTAGATCTCTACCACTTATTATATTACCAAGCATTTCCCCTCACCTTTTGGCTTAGACCTTGGAAGGTAAAACCTTCCCCTCATCCATCTCTACAACACCTGATGAGTGCTCAAATGTGATGCATTTTAGCACATAAGTTAGGGTATTTTAGTCAATTCATTTATATATATTTTTCTATTTTAATACTTATTTGTGTTTTTATCTATTTTAGGTCAATAAGGTTCAAACAGGCTAAAAATGGTCCATTACAATCTTTTTGGAGTCAAGCAAAAGTTTCGAGAAGATTCCAGAAAAATTCGAAAAAAGGTCAAAAATGCCGAATTTTTGGATGGATCGAGAATTTTTCGATCGATTGAAGAAATCTTCGATCGATCGAAAATACGTTGGCAGCGAGTTGTTTTATTCCCGCGTGCCCGAACTCTACCTACCACATAATTGCGGGATTAGATATTTTAAAGGCTTATTTTTTGACTTGTTCACTACTCCAAGGACCTTGTATTTAAAGGGAATTGAACCATTTTGTAAAGAAGATCTTTTGTCTTCAATTTTATTTATTGAAATTTTATTTTCTCTCTCTAGAAAAGTTATAAATTAGGGTTAGAAGAAAAGAGAAGAGTGGAGGCTCCAAGAACACATCTCAAAATCTACACACTCTTTCTCTCTAGAATTCAACAGAGAAGAAGAGGAAGAAGATGGAGCCATATTTGGGGATTACTCTTGAGGGTTCCAAGATCATACTCACCTCCTCCATGATTGACTAGACTTCTCCTTGGGGCTTGGATGAGCCCCAAGTTTGTAAATCTTAACATCCATCTCTTTCATACTTTTTGGAAAATAATATCTTGTGATTAATGTTTTAGCTTTGTGAATTTAATGAATCTTGGGCTTTCTTTTGATTTTCATGAATTAATTCTTTCTATTGATTTTTTATGTGATTACATGTTGTCTTATGTGTGATTATTTGAGAATTGATCTCTACACTATTTTCTCTATGTTTGTTACATGTCTATGTGTGACGAATTAAGAATTTAGTGATGGCTAGGCATGGTTTTCATTAGATGGGTTTGTCAATTAATTTGATGGATTATGCTTATACTTGATGGGTTGTTCTACAATTTAATTCATGCTTGTAGGTAGGTAGACAATTTTTACCTGATTTGATATTCCATGCCTTATTATTACAAATTCCATGATTCTCTAGATTGATGTGTACTACAATTGTGACTAGTTTAATGGGCCATGCTTATAATTGATGGGTTAATTGTTGGTTAGGTAAGCAATTTATACTTGAATTTGATGGTCCAGGCTTAATATTACAATTAGTAGTCATATCTAGATTACAAGAATGTTTTTCCCAATAAGTTGAAAGTGTGTGCTTTGGTGAACGAGTTTGGTGGCGATTCCAATGCACCCTAAGACCTCACTTCTCATCTCTTAAATCCCTAACTCAACTTAGTTTATGATTGGTCATTGACTATCACAATAATAATCAACCATTTGCAATAGCACAAATCATTGAAAAATAGGGTTATTGGACGGGTATGTCGAACCACTGGGAATGCTAGTTTATGGCAAATAAGGTTGTTAGATTCACTTTTAGTTTGATAAAAGTGGTATAGAGTTTGTTTGGTTTTGTCACTTGATACTTGGAATTAAGATTATGCATAAGATAATAGTTTCAAGGAAATTAAAGGGAAAGAAATACAATTAGAGAGGACTAGGGAAGTGAATCCACTACTAACCCTATACACATGCTAGATTAAGACTAATTTGGGGAAAACAACATAAATAATGGTCATGATGTGTAGCAACAAATGGTTGCTACATAATCTTCAAGGAGTTCATTAAATCAAAAGGCAAGAATAATCTATCAAAGGTTCACAGGCTTAAACTACCTAAACTAGGGTGTAACCTTGAACATGCTCACTAAGCTAAAGATTATCAAGCCCTTAATCCAAAGATGAAAGCACATGAAGCTAGAAATCAAGCATAAACCATCAAAGGAAAGACATAAGCCATGGACTATCAAAGTTCTCCAACTTCATGCCAATAAAACCATTCCATAATC